GTGAAGAGGTAAGCACAAAGAACAACAGCAAAATACTTTTATGAAGGAACAGAACTGGAGAATGCTTTTGAAATGCGAAACAATGGCCTTCGATACAAAGCCATTATGCTGAGAGTATATCTGCCTTTGCACACTGGAATATTGGGCCATAGCATGCTTGGCAGACATGTTAGACTTGTCCTTGTAGTAGATTTGCACCTTGATTTGCCAAATTCATGTCAAAATTGTATTTCAGCCTCCTCCCATTTTTAATATACAAAATTGGATAACATCCCTAAAGACAAGCCTATACTCCAGCACTTTTGGATTTCCAAACATATAAGGCAGTGAATATTTCCTTCCAAGGAAAGCAGTACAATTCTGCTGCAGCTAAATGAGAAGACAGGATTAGAAGTGACCAAACTGAATGGAAAAGTTGGCTGAGAAATGTTGCTGCTCTGAGCTCCTGCAAAAAATAGGAAATGTGATGTATGGGGTCTCACAAAAACAGGGAACTTTATGGTTTTCTTATACAATCCAAGAAAGCCCCTTTCATCACATGGGAATTTCAGTTCCCCAGCAGAGGAGAACACCTACTCTATATATGCACTGGAGACCAACCACAATTTAATTCCAATCATTTCATTCCTTATTTCCCCATAACCCTAATATGTATTACCACTGATTCTTACTCGAAAAACAAAATCTGGAACATTGTTTTAGTTGTTAGGACTAATAAATGGGTAACAACTACCAAATATTTGTAATATAAGTCTGACATCTAAGGACATTTTACACCACACATAAGTAGAAAGCAGGGTCCAGAGGGACTTATCCCTTTGTCCTGTGAAATGGATGTTGCCACACTTTATTGACTACACTCTTATTCCTAAACTTCTTCCAAACAGGACACACAATTCCATTGGAGCAAGTCTTTCTGATGCTTCCTTTGCCATGGAAAACATATGGCTCCCAGGTCAGTGTTGTGATAAATCTGCTCTGTTGGTTTGAGGAGCTATCCAAAAAACCCCAAAAGGTCCAGTACATTGGATAGCTCCAATACAGCTCAAATTCAAACAGATTGAGACCCTTTCTATACTGCCATATAATCCAGATGATCAAAGCAGATAATCCACATTATCTGCTTTGAACTGGATTATATGAATCTACACTGCCATATTCAAAATAGATAATCTGAGTTTTAAATGACAATGTAGAAGGGGTCATATTCACCATTCCACTGACCTCAGAGCCACTAACCACCACTGTCTCTTCACTGCACTTGGCATCTTAATCCATTGTGTTTTTCTGTTGGAGTATTGTATCCAGAGTTTTCCACTAAAGGAAAATCCCTGATATTTTTATGTGATGCCAAGGTTTCCAGGAAGTGGGTTGATGTGAGTTTTCCGGGCTGTATGGTCATGTTCTGAAAGCATCCTCTCCTGATATTTTGCCTGCATTTATGAGAGGCATCCTCAGAGGTTGTGAATGGTTTCCATGAAGTCCAATATTCCTAAAAGAATCCATTATTTATAGTACCAGGTATAAACACACCCTCTGCAAGGAGACAGACAATTGTGATAATGTGAATTTCCAGGTGATGCCTATGTGCAGATAGCCCAGATCCCTTAGGAACACCAAGATCATGCAAAGCCTGAAGCTCTTTGTATCAAATCATATCAAACCCTTGGAACAGCCATGTAATAAGTCAAAGCAAATCTGCTCAAGAACCCAGTATCAAATTCAGAGTTGATGGGAATCTTTCTGTCCTTCTCTGAAGGATTGACCTTATTTTGTTTTATGTTGGGTTGGTTCTATGGACCCTGAAAGCCCCCTCCCTTGTTTTTAAAGCACTGCAAGCTCCCAGAAGGTAAAAATTACTTTTCAGCTGTCACATGCCAATGACACACCTTTGTGGAAATGAAATGAGAATTACTGAGTTGCACTCCATACAATGGGCTGTCCTAAGTAGGAAAGGAAAGGAAATGGCACCTAGCTCCAGTTGCATTTCAGGCACAAACAGCAAGAGACTGGAGTGACAGAACTAATCCGGAAGTCAGAACAAAAAGGAAAAAAAACCGGAAAAACAAAACAAAGTTGAACTTGCTTACCTGTCAGACACAGCATGCCTCAGCCAGCTCATGCAAATTGAATTTTGTTCACCAAACATGTGTTTGTTTCTTCATTACCCGAATAATAAGCACATTGGGAAGGCAATAACGCATGCAGAGCGGTTCAACATTCATTCATTGTTCCATAAACAGATTACATTGACTTCAGAACTGAATCCACCAACAGCACTTTTAAAACCCATCCAAAACAAATTCCTCCTTCCATGGCTCTATCTTCTCATAGCCTAAGATCCACTTGAGGTTTACATTTCATAACACCGTTGCCTCTTTCCTTCTAGGCCTCTCATTCTCCTGCTGATACACTGAACTGTTTTTAAAAGGCGTAAAACCTTTCACAATAGTGATTGATTTCTCTTTCTACTCAATAAAGTGTCCAATATAATTGCTTGAGATGGACTGGCTTCCATGATATTGGCAACTGAGCACCCAATATCCCAATTGTAATTTGGAACTGGAATGGGAGAGGGTGAAGAACATGTTGATTCTCTGGTTGAAATCATGTGCTGAACAACCATATTTATTTAGAAGTTCCACTAAGCTCAGTGGGAACTTCATCCCTAATATGTGTGTTGAAATTTTGTGCACAGTTGAGAATACAATCTATGGAAGTGACTTCTGAAGAAATGGAGATAGCATTGGGCCTTAAAAGTTCTATTCTAATCATGCTTCTAGTGAAATACACATATAGTATGAAGGATGGGTTTCTCACAGTTAAATGGATACAGGAGCATAGCTGTAAGCATTTTTATTTTCAGCTGAATTGTGCCATTTTTGTGCTTATTTCTGTATCATCTAAATCCAGTTGCAAATCCAACTCAGTGCGGGCCTGTTGAAGCAATTACATGAGGTAAAACTCATTGAATTGAAATGAGTCCATGAATCTATAGTAGGCCCTCCGCTCTTACAGAGGTTAGAGGCACAGAAACAGGATTTCTTTTAATATACATGTGTTATTGGGATAGTTCTATGCTTATGTTGTTGTTATTGTTATTTTTGCTTATGTTATGACTCTGTATGTTCTGATGTTGTTACTTGAAAACCAACCTGAGTCRCTTCAGGGAGATWGAGTGGTATATAAATAAACTTTTATTATTATTATTARACAGGYTGAGGCAGCATAACTTCCTTTTTTAAAATGCACGCCATTCATTTGGTTGAAGACGTAGCGGAGRGCTAGTGGTCTCATTCAAGAGGRGGGAGTATAAAGTTTTGTCCTGATACAGTTCAGTCGCCATCATGCGCTGGAACAGTGAGGAGCATGCTTTTGCRGTTGAGGCCTACTTTTCGAGCGGATTTGGAGTGGCTGGCCCGCTTTCCAAATTTGGCCCTTGTGATTTTTTTCTATGGGGTTTTTTGAAATCCCGTGTTTATGTGAACCGTCCAAGGACCCTACAAGATTTGAAGACCAACATCCAGGAAGAAATTGCCAACATAACGCCTGCTATGCTGGGAAGAGTCATGACAAACGCCAGAAATCGGTTTACTCAGTGTATGGAGAATGGGGGATGTCGCCTACCTAATTTGATCTTCAAAACTACGTAAAACAAAACTTTAGGTATGTGCCTACATTATAAAAAAAAATAAAAATTTCTGATTCATACAACAMGTTTTATTAAGTTTTGAAAAAAGGAAGTTATGCTGCCTCACCCTGTAAGAGTGAGAAAACAGTAAATAAAGAKACTATTAAATATTCTCTAGTTACCTCATCACACTAGAAATTGAATCCACTTTAAATCCAGTTGCTGRRTCCTACAGAATTCTGGGGTTTGTAGTTTAGGGAGGAGCCTTAAACAGCTTCACTAAACTGCAAACCCCAGAATTCTGCAAGAGGCAGAAACTGGATTTAAAGTTGTTTCATTCTCTAGTGTGACAAAGGAGTAGGAATCTTTAAGCCCCCCAGTGCTACTCTATAGACAACTTTCGCCACAACAGAGTTGCACTGAGGGACCCACCAGTCCCCAGAGAGAAGATATAAAACAAATTCAGAAAAGTGAAACCTGTAAATCCAGTTGCTACTTTAGCTGAAAGTAGCAACTGGATAATAATAATAATAATAATAATAATAATAATAATAATAATAATAATATACTTTGAGGAGACAATTTCTCCAGAAGTTGGAGGTGTACTTCAAAAATATGTGTATTCAGGAAAAAGAATGTAATTGAGAAAAAGAAAGGGGCAGCTGATATGTTTTGAAGGATATATATTTTAAAGGGAAAAGTTATTTAAATAGGTAAGCACCGCTACTCTTAAGTGGCACGATCCAGGAAAATGTTTTACTATGAGTTCCTCTGAATTAAGAAATCAATTTCATGAAAACCCAACAGAATTTCAGTAAGTCCTTTTGTTTTGCTTCATGAATGCCCAATTTTATTTGAATTGGAGTGCTTGGTATTGATTTCAGAACAGATTCCAATTGCATTTATCATTAGCCAAAGAAAGAAAGCTGAATGAAAGTATTATTGGACAAAACAGACTAGGATAGTGACTATCAGATGTTTTAGACTGCAACTCATTCCCTAGCAAAGGTAATGCTGGAAACCTTGGAAGCTGGAACTTAACACCTCTGTTGCCAAATGCACTCCAGGGCAGAGAAGGCTAACTCAGAAGCTTGGTGACCTCTTTGCACCAGTCCATCCATAGAAGTGATCCCCTCTTAGTTCATCATAAGTATAATTTGCCTGTTCTGTACACTTCTCTGTGCCCAACTAAGCTGGCCAACTCCTGTGCAACAGCTCTTCATGGACTGCCACTACACAACCCTATAGACTGTTGTTATGCACAGAACGAGAAAACAGCTTGGAGACCATAAACAAAAGCTGGTTTTAAGAGCTCTAAGTACCGCAATCTCCAAGTGAAGTATGTACCCAGCAATAAATTGTCTCTTACCTGTCACTGTAGGCAGCTGCGGTGGCTGTGGTAGGTTGGGCATATCGGTAGGCAGCATAACCGCCCTGAAACACAAACACAGTCTAATCAAATTACAGACAGTGTTAAATAAAAAAACACCACCCTTCATAATTAGCAACAATTAGTTGGTTTATGATTTCCATGTTCTGCTACAGAGACTTTCCAATGTTGTCATTGTTAACGGCAGCATCTAAAAAACAGGCTCATATATTAGCTGAGTAAACAGCTCGGTATAAAAAACTTCTGGTGCAAAACTGGAGGTGGAACTCGTGAGAGATTAATTTACAGCCCAAGTGGATGCTTGCTCCTTGGATATAATCTGCATTGAATTTAATGGGGAAGGGTGCACAGCTCCGCAAATCATGTATACGCAGAATGGGCCCATGCCCTTCAGTAAAGAGGCATCTTAAAATGAAACAATTTGTTCTTTGAAGACAAAGTTGAAGGCCAAAGCAGAACTGGACCTTCATATCCAGTAGCAATGTATCTTAGACCCCATTTACACTGCCATTATAGTGCAGATTGAATTAGATTATATAGCAATGTAGACTCATATAATCTGTTTAAAGTACATTACATGAGTCTACATTGACCATATGGTGAAATTCAAATAGCATTAGATGACAGTGGCAATGGGTCCTTAAAGTCTCAGATGGGGGCACTAGCAAGGTTTGATCCTCACCGGCCATGAATGGACTATATGCAAAGCTGGGTATTTTGCTGGTCACAGCCTGATGAAAATATAGAAAAGGATGGATGCATGTCTGATGGGGCAATGCCATGTTTTGATTAGGTGAGAAGCGACTCTTCTTCCATGAATGGGATGCATTAAAAACCAGAGATTCGAAGAAGGGCCTTGTGGGTGCCTCATACAGCATTATGATATTAGTGGTTATACAAAGGCCTTCACAACTGTATTCTTACTACAACTCAGAGAAAAGAAGTAAAGACTTTATTTATATGCTTTATAAACTGCTATCAGCTTAAGCTGGCACATATATTCTTTGGCTGGATGATTAAAAATAAACAATATAGAAAGTTTTCTCCAGGCTGGGCAATATCAAGAGAATTTCCACTCATTTTTGACATTCCAGCACTTTTTTGTGTTAAAAAATGTGCAGAATTATGGAATTTTCCTAATATTTTTATATAAAGAACATTTTTACATCAACAACAAACACATTTCTCACAAAAGAGTCCTAAAATGCAAAAACGAAAGAAAACAAAACCCTGCCATATTGGTTGACCATTTTCCTAATAGTTTCACAAGCAATTACACATATCAAGAAATATCATTTCTTATAAAATATAAGAAAGTTTATGCATATTATATACAGCCCCAGATGAACCAGTTCCCTTTCATGTATTCAGATACTTTCTCTCAACGTCTTGATGCTTCATCACAAATAAGGAAACATATAAATAAATAAAGGAAACAATGCCTGAATAAAGGAAACAATGGCCTGCTCTGACCAATTCCCTGCAAAATGTCCTCAGAAGCACCTTAACCCCTATACCTTGCCCCAGCCTCCCCTTCACCCCCCTCCCACCTACCCCGTCCCCAATCTCCCCCCCTACTGGCTTTTATGTGCATCGAAATTCATAATAAAGTTAATTTTTTTTAAAAAAGAAGCACCTTAACTACCCATTGGGTTGATCTCCCTACATTATCCTTTAAAATCCTCCTGCTTAGATACATCTTACCTCTGTTCATGCCCAGTGTTTATTTTAAAATTTTAATCTATTACATCTGGCTCAGCCATAAGGTTTTAAATTTTTTTGTGTTATTGCTTATATGTGAGTTATATTAATTGTACTGTTTTATTTGCTTGCTGCTTGTTGTTTTACTGATGTGTTGTTGGGCTCGGCCTCATGTAAGCTGCCCCGAGTCCCATTGAGGAGATGGTGGTGGGGTATAAATAAATAAATTATTATTATTATTATTATTATTATTATTATTATTATTATTATTTGACCACTCTTTCCATTTCTAGATGGAGCGCCAGTCCTTTGGACTTGATGAACCTTCCTTCAATACCAGAAGCAGATCTGAAACTTTGTGTCTTTCAAAGAGAACTCAAATTGCATATGGAGGGAGGGGCACCCAACAAAGTCCACAATTTCTCATTCCCTTAGAGTTCCTTGGCCAGAGCAACTTGAGAATAGAGTTCCTATATTTCATTCCATGGGTTGCCACTTTGATGGGGCAGCTACTCAATGCCTTTTGAGTCTCCTTGAACCAAACAGAAGGAGGGGAGCATCTCTGTTGAGAGCCGCAGCAACTCTTTCCCATAGCAGACAGATCAGATTTTCATGTATTATTTTACTAAGCTGGAATGTGAATGGCAATCCTTCTTCATATTTTTGCAGCATAAATCTATTTTTGCATGAATAAAGTGCAGTTGTGTTATACCAGCATTTTGCACCCAACTGTGTATCTGTGAATGTGCCTGCTGTTTCCACAATCCCAGTGAATCAAGTGGCACATTGAAAGCACTTGTGAGTAGTTTTATGTGTGGACATTTTAGTTATTTCTTGATTCATGGTGATCACATGAATTTCATGTAATCATCAGAGCTGGTTTTGCCAGTTCTTTCCTCTGATATATAATCTATAGCACTGACTGGCAGTCTCCCATCCAAGTATAAACCAAGATTGGCAGAGTATAAATTCCAAGGATCTGGTCCAAACATGCAACTGTATGTGAAACAGTTACATATGTAGAACTCCAATTATGCAACTGGAAATTGAATGTGTATAGCTACATATGCAAAGAAACATCCTTGTATATGTACCCATGCCAGGCATGGAATTTTACATCTATGAAGACACATTTTGACTAGAACTCAAGTGAGTTGCATATAGCTACGATGATGGAAGAGTTACGACGATCCACATTGATTTTGGAGATTGCCCTGACTTGCTTTTCTTCTGGATCTGTTTATTTGGGTTATTATACAAATTGTTTTGAAATAACAGATTCTAAATGGAAATTAAAGGAAATGTAGTTTACAGACACCTCCGCCCCAAACAGCATCAGTCTGAGTGCCTGCTTCATTTCCATGCTCACAGTAAGACCCCCATATCCAGATATAACTGGACGGTATTAAATCACCTTACTTCCAGTCCCATCATACTGCCCGGAGTCCCCTCAGAAAATAAATAAAGTTTTATTATTATTAAAGTTTTATTATTAATATATTGTTGTGTTGGAGACACCTCTCTATGAATTTCTAGAGACTCCCGCATATCTCTATGGTATGATGGGTATTTATAGTATCATGGGATCTTCTCTAAGAATTTATTGCCTCCTAAAATTCAAGTCTGGGTCCTTTCAGACAGGCCCCAAAGTACAGGGCCTGTTGGGCTTTTAACTGAGGCATCCAAATGATGGGTCAGATAAAAATGAATTAATTCAGAACAAATTGTCCCGAATTAATTGGATACCCCATTAGATCTGAGCCTTCCTGAAAGGGAACTCACTCCTGGGAGTACCTGGGGTGAGTGTCATCTCATTTCTTCGGGCTTCCAAAAGCCTGGAGGAGCGAGATGGTGCCCACCCCTTCCCTGAAACCCTCCCCCCAAACATCCTTTAAATCTTGTAAAAAGTTAACAGGCTGCCATGACGGTAGTCCTGGGATTCTCCTGGTGCGTAGAAATCATTTCTACACGCCAGAAGTATTCTAGGACCACCATACTGGTGGCCTAGTAAGTTTTTACAAGTTTTTCACACTGTTGTGGGTTTTTTTGGGGGTGGCCCCATGCCATCCTGATAATTATTGGGATGACATGGGGACACCACACCAGGAAAGCCCGGTTTTTTTTAGTGGGCATGTGGATTTAAACCCATGCTAAAGCAGGTTTTTAAAACCTACGTCGGCACGGGTTTATACTATGTCTGGAAGCACCCTGAGTGATAACATCAAGGGAAGTATACCATAGATTTGCCTGGAGGATTTAGCCAATGCTTAGGGAGATCATTTTCCCATTGGGAACAGATAAGTGAAACTGCAGATATGGGTTATGCTGTTATGGGGGTTTATCTTCGTGTGTGTGTGTGTGTGTGTGTGTGTGTGTGTGTGACATGGCAGAAAAAGCCACTATCATCATGATAAAGCCTTCCTTCCTTATGCACTTTCCAGTGTTCACAGAAGAGGAGTTATACAAGGAAACTTGGAATGTAAATGATTTTTCACACTGGGTGGAAACCTGCATAGGCCCATCGTAGAAGCAAACTGAAATTATCAATATAGTGTCTGGTTTTACTGGGTTGTGGAAGATTCTGTAACGAAAGAACCCCCTCCCACCCCGAATTAATGTTTACTTGTATGTGACAAGGCAAGCTGTTCAATTAAGGCAACAAAGGAACACATCCATAAATACACACACACACATATCTTGGAAAGGAGCTGTGTTCACTCATGCATTGATGATCAAACTGTGAAAACAGCTATCCTTCCTGTTCAACAGACCACGGTGTTATATCAACCGTTTCCAAATGATCTCGCAGCATGCCAATTAACAGAGAGAACCAGGTCTCCATAGATAAGGCAAACAACTTTTACATCCCAATTAGAACCTGGGGGTCCTTTCCCTCCTCTGGGATTTAAAGGCACTCCCTGCCCCCACTAATTTAACAGGGAATGAAATGTAAAAGGGCAGTAGAAAAGGAGATCAATTTGTTTTCCAGGAAGTCCTCTTCCTTCCTTCATTGTCAGCTTTGAATTCTGTTCTGTTCGACTCCATTTGGGATCAAGTATTCAAGCCCAGGAAAAGTCTTGCATCGTGTTTCGACAATATTTGCTATAATAATGTATATGTACAGAACTGAGTGACAGCTACATATGTACATTCTATATACAATGTATGAAAAAACAAAACATAATACAATTGGCTAGTTTAGGATCTAGTCCTATGACAGGCTTAAACTGGAGGGAAGCCCTACCAAAGTGGAAGGACTTCCAACTTGTAGAGACTGGGGGGTGCATTTACACAGTAGAATGAATGCAGTTTGGCACCACTTAGAACTGCCACCGCTCAATGATATGGAATCCTGGGAGTTGGAGATTTTACAAGTTATTTGGGTCTTAAGGAGCCAAATAATTTTGGGGCCTTACCAAAATACAAGTCCTGGGATCCCATTGCATTGAGTCATGGCACTGAAAGTGTTGTCAAACTGCATTCGTTCTACAGTGAAGATGCATCCAACATTTAGGGAAAAGTCTGGGTGAGAAATGGAATATTCTGAAAATCATGATGTCTGGATAATTTGGGATGTGAGGACGCATCCATTTTCTCTGCTGCATTTTTAAAATTTTAATATTTGTAAAAGCAAGTTCTTCCCACTAATTTGGGTTTGTTTATTGGGGGGGGGATAAAATATAAGTAAAATTAAAAATAAGTTGTGGTTGGTGGAATCCATGAGTGCTAAATCCATGGATACAGCGGTCCTGTTACATGCCCAGTGTTCTTGTATCTCACATCACAAGGGCTGCTCAGTTATGGGAATGCAGATTTGGTCCTCCCCTCTATCAGTGTTACTATTGCTTTGTTCATTTTTTTCTTGTTGTTTTATGCTTATGTATTTTTCAGAATCACTTCTCTTATCTCCCCCTGTTCCCTGCTCAATATGTTATGGGGAAATCCAGATATACCAATGCACACTTTTCTTCTTCTCTTTCTTTGCCTGACTTGCACCTGTCTCTGTTTCCTGCTGTTCTTGCGCGAGGCATGTTTTCTGCTGTCAGCATCTCTGCTCTTTTCCCCCCTCCTTCCTTCTATAGAGCTTCAGTTCTCTCTATTTAAAATGGCTAACTGAGCTGAAGGTGGGTGGTAATCGATCTTGGAGCCAGTCAATACCTCAGGACTCTGTAGGCAACTAATAAATTCTGAATCACATAGGGTTTTTTTCTTCTCTCTCCACCACACATCTAGATTTTATTCTCCTTGGCAAACAATGGAAAGGGAAGAGTGGAAGCAACGTTGGAAAGGAAATTGAGCTGTGAGGTACAGTGGTCTAGGCGAGTTCTGTTATGAAATATGAAAATGCTCAATGGAGCTTACATGAGATGAATCATTGCAGTAGACTTTTGCTCAGATCTTCAGGGGGACTGAGGGAGGAAAAAGGAAAGTCTGATCTCGAGGCAGAAAATTCTCTGCATTTTCAAGTGGAATTTGAATGACTTTGAATCACCACCACATTTGACAATTAGCGAAACAGGGACATGTATCAGATGTATGGTGTCTTGTTGTTGGTCTTTGTGTCATTTCTGATTTATTGAGACGTGAAGGTGAGCCTATCATGGGGTTTCTTCGCAAGATTAGTTCAGAGGGGTTCTTCCTTTGCTTTCCTCCACAGTGGAGAGAATATGACTTGCCCAAAGTCATCCAATACGTTTCAATAGCCGAGTGGAACCTTGGTTCCAGAAGTGTAGTCCAATGTTTAATCCACTAAACCATGCTGGTTCTCTTATGCTTCTTCCTCTCTCTGCATGTAGGACCAAAAAGTCAGCATTATACAATGGATGTAGTCTGCTGTGAGAAGAAGAAGTGGAATTGCACACCAATCATGTTCATCTCAGCTTTTGTCTTTGCAAGGTGCACATTGTGGTAATGCCTCCTATGCTTTCCATTGTGGTTGTGCACCCTATACCTTGCACTGTAGTAGGGTGCCGCGTGTTGTGCATTGTACAATGACACCCAAACACCAACATGTGTTGTGCAATGTTGCTGTTTTGCATGGAGGTTTCACAGCACTGCTATGATATGTCCAAATCTGGGTACATCTGCTACAAAAATGGCATGTTAGATTGAAGCCAATATTCATTTTCGTATTCCTCCTGCAGCTCTCTTTTCCATTTTACTTTGACTTTAAGGACACTTGAAGCTGGGTATTTAAGAACGTACCTGGGCTCTGATGTGAGGGTGTGTCATGTCCTCTGATGTCATAATGCTAGCCAAGAAATTCCATATATATTATACACATATAAGTCAAGAACAGGATTTGAGACAAACTTATGGATTTTGATATGATCTATGGATAAGTTGAGGGTCATTCTGTGGAGAGGGGAGAGCACTAGCATGAGTTCAAGGGGACCACTACACTTGGCCACTGCCATATTCCTACCCAGTCCAACCACATTCTGTCATGTAGGAAACCACAACCAAAGGACACCTGAAAGAGACCCACCAATTCTCTGTTCTTCCTAATGTTTGCTCCATTGAATGCTCCATTGTGTCCTAGTTGTCAGCGCAGTAATCTTGCCCCCTCCTCAATATGACACACTTTCAACTGTTTAAATATGGCTAACATGTCCATCTCTTCTCTGGTCTAAACACTAGGCCTCCTAGGGCTTCGCTTCTATGTCTTTTACCATTTTGCTCGCCCTTCTCTGGATGCATTCCAACTTGTCAATATTCTTCTTGAATTATGGTGCACAGAGCTAGACAGATTATTCCAGGTGAGTTCTGCCCAAAGCAGAATAGTATTTTTCTTGATCTACTTCAAACCTAGAATAAGGTTCTTCTGGGACCGACAAAGCTCTTGCCTTTTATCAATTTACTCAAATAAAGGACTGGTCCCTTTTGTGCTTAGAGTGAAACAACAATACTTATATTGGCCTATGGATAAGTCAACCTTGTTTCTTGGTCAGTTTTTTAAAACTGAAATTTCTAGATGTATGCATGAGTATATACATACAGTAAACATCACTGAAACTGATGGGAATCTCAGCTCAAGTATCCATCAAAGATGTGGTGAAAATCCAAATTTTCCAAGGTGGATGAGATTCATGCTGCTGTTGTTAACTGCCATCAAGTCAACATCAACTATGGTGACTCCATGAATGAGAGACCTCCAAGTCCTCCTGTCCTCGACTGCCCTGCTCAGGCTTTGCAAATTCAGGGAAACAGCAATCTAGACTGAGTCTACCCATCTGTATTAGGCGAAATTATCTAACTTCTTTTGAATGTCACTTTTTATGCAATGTTAGTGGGACCTGTTTACTACAAAAGCTATTGAAAGTGTCAGCTTTGAGTCCCATTCATTTCTGTAATTTTGTGGTGCTAATGACTTTTCAAACTGCATTTAATTATTTTCCCCCAAAAAGAGAGACAGAAAGAAAACCAAAACCCTGCTCTCAGTTAACAACCCCCCCCCCCATTCTCCCTAGAAACCCAGATTCTTCCTTCTTTTGTCAACAAAATGTAAATGATTTCATCTTAAATGTCTCAAAAGTGTCATTGGTAATAAATAAAAATTATGGGTTTTTTTCTTCCAAGTACCACTTAATGAATTTTTAATGTTCATTCCAATTTAATGCAATCAATCTCTTGATATCTCAACACCGATGATGCAACAGCAACACAATTAGGTTACAGAAATCTGTATGTAGTAATAAAAAGAGGTTTAATTACATCTATTTTTAGGATCAGACTTTTTTATCCAAGGCCTAATGGAAGACTACAAAGGAGATTTGTGAGCGAAGACAGTCTTATATTACAAAGATTTGTGCCATGAAGTGATGGCTTAATTCTTTGAGGAATTCTCAAGGTGTAAAATGATTTGGGAGGGGGGAGGGGAGTAACATTTCTGAGACACAGAAGATGAGGCTTGATGTATTTTTGTCCTCAAACTCCCCAAATTCACTGCTCAACTTTCAGCTGAAATCTATTTTTGATTTTATTTGTGCATTGCATGTGATTGAAAGGGTATTCTGCAGAGCACAAATCGTGCCTACTATACTGGTTAATCTCAAACTTGCATCGGACTTTGTCTCTCCAATTCTTGACTACTGGTCATGTTGGCTGAGACCTCTGGGAGTTGGAAGTCCACAACAACTGGAGAACCAAAGAATGAGAAGTCTGATGCTAGATCTCACCATCATTCTCCTTACAATGTGGGGATCTCTGCCAGAACTACAACTCCCCATAGTCTTAGCCTATCAACAGACAATGTTGATAGGAATAACAGTCCGATATCTTCTCTTGGGTTTCTGTTTCTAAGGCCTTATCTACACTTGACAGTTTAACTCAGTGTAAATTTTCCCCAGAGCATCTTCAGATTCAGCACTTTTGTACTGAATCCAGAGTCATTGTCCAGATTACCTAGGCGCATATTCATTTCACTGTGCTGTTGCCTCCTCAATGGCAACTCTGCTACTATCCAGCAATGGAGCTCCTGGCCATTGTGGGCACCTCTGCTGATGTCACTTCATCTCCCCTTTAATGCTATTTAATTGTCATTTTGACAAATGATTGCATTTAACCAGCTGAGTGAGTGAGTCAGTGAGAAAGTGAGTGTTAACATGTTTGGGGCAAGTGATGATGTTATGGGACTGAGTTGCTACCACTCAGCTGTAGATGCACACAGGTCTGCTAAAAGAGTAATACCAGATTTGGGGATGTCAGTAGATGGCAAGAGCAGCATATTCCTCCTTCTATACAATAGCTGTCAAGTAAAAATAGCAAGGAAGATGGTATCTCAAAGCACTTGCTTCTCATGACTTTAGCAGCATCCTGAGATGCAGAAATTTAGCAGGAGAAATGTATTTTCCTGGAGGGGAACTTCACCTGCTTAATTTCCATGCGGTTGTTTCTTCGTGGCTTAGGAACGGTGGTCATTCCAGATGCATATTCACCCTCTGAGCCTCCTTAAAGGCCACCTATGAATGAACCCAGCCAAAATGATGGTAGATGTAATGAACATAGAGAGACTTCAAAGACAAGCTTTCTTGTTGATTGCTCTTTTTTCTGTTCCAGAGATGGCAAAATGGACGAAACAGAGTCAAAGCTTATGCAGCAAACTCACAGAAGACTTAAGCCAAAAGGAAATGACTCTAGCAATGTTCCAATGGACAGCATGCACATCAATGAATACTTACATAAATGTCTGCACCATAAAATCCATCCTGGTAAACAACACTGCAGGGATGCACATACAAAGAGAAACATTCATATTAGTGCATTTCCACATGCAAATGCCACCAACCCCTGAACTCTTGAGGTTAGTCTCATCACAAGGTCAGAACCAAACAAGAGAAACCAAATCAAATGGAACCAGGCCAAATCAAACCAAACCACTGATATCACTATATACACATAGGCCAAAGGATAAATACATACATATTTGCATTAGGGGGGCATATTATTAATAAAGTCTAGACGTTCATGCATTTTCTTCTCTTTGATAAGGAAAGCTGTACAGAAAAACACTTGCCCATGTCTTGAACAAAATTAAAATGTGACACAGCTGGGCTGCCACAGTGCCATCAGATTTGACCATGCCCACTGACTTAACATCTAAGTTCCAGTTCAGTTACGACACCCAACTTTTGCTTACTTCCTATTTAAATTTTATTCCCATTTTCCTCTAGATCTAGGAAATCATTACTATACAGTACAACCTCCATATCACCAGGGAGGTATATTTCTTAACTTCATGTGGATAACAACAAACTCAATTGGAATGAAGGATTTTTGGCCCTAGAATACCATAAGGCCACCCTGGAGCACCCAGAAAATGTCTAGAGATTACATCTTCTGTTTAAATACAATGGCCTGCATTATATGGGTCTACACTGATCATATAATGCAGTTCCAAATGGCATTATATGGCAATGTAGATCCTACCTTTGCTGTCTTTCAGGATGAAAGTTTTACTTTTCCAAGGTCATCCAGAGAATTTCCATGGCTGAGTAGAAATTCAAACCCTGGTCTCCATGGTCTTAGCCCAACATTCAAATCACTACACCACTCTGTCTCTCACTGAAGAATCTACGGGCGGTTCCAGACAGTTCTTTATCCCAGGAACATTCACGTTTTAAAAACGTGGATGTTCCTGGGGGCCTGTCTACACCCATCCCAGAAATTGCATGCTTTCTGGGATGGATGTCCAGATATTCTGTAGGGACTGGGGACCCCCCCTCCCCCCAAAATCGCTCCTTCCCCCTCCCCCGCTCTCCTGGTGCATCATTTCTATGCACCGGGATAGCTACTGCAACAGTGTACAGGAGACCAGATGAGTTTTCTTTACTTTTAAAAGGGGTTTGGGGGCTTTTTGGGGGAGGGGGGTGAATATTCCCACAGTTTTCCGGACTAATTTAGTTCGGAAAACTGTGGGAATGGTGTCTGGACTGCAGTCCAGACACCGGAAAAGTGGGTTTCCGGTGCTGCACCTGCTAGAGATAAAGTTGAGGGCCAATATTCTACATCAGCTCCTTGTTATGTGTTTTGGAGTCCACTATCTAATTAATTCTCTACAAACCAGGGTTTTTCTAGTTTGCGGTAAAAAAAATTTTTGTCATGTCAGGAGCGACCACTCCTGTTGTGAGAGAATTGGCCATCTGCAAGTACGTTGCCCAGGGGACGCCCGAATGATTTTGATGTTTTATCATCCTTGTGAGAGGCTTCTCTCATGTCCCTGCATAAGGAGCTGGAGCTGATAGAGGGAGCTCATCCGCCTCTCCCCGGATTCGAACCTGCGACCTGTCGGTCTTCAGTCCTGTCGGCACAAGGCTTTAACCCACTGGGCCACCGGGGGTTCCTTGCGGTAAATTAATTTGGGATTGTCCAGGATGACATCTGGACAGCCCCTTCTTTATTGTGGGAGTTACCGCAATAAAGGGGCTGTCTGGATGTGCCCTACTTCATTAAATATACTTAACTAAGTAGCTGATGCGAACCAGTGTGCTCTAGAAGTTTGAGTGTTAGATTTGAGTGTTCAACTCCCTGCTCAGCAATGGAATCCCATGGTAACCCACTGAGTGGGCAAGTCAACTTCTCAGTCTCTGGTGAAGACAAGGACAAATCTTCCCTGAACAAACCAAGCTAAGAAAACCCCACAATAGTTTTGCCTTCAGACAGAAAGGAATCCAAAACACATAACAAGGAGCTAATGTAGAATATTGGCCCTTAACTTTATCTCTAGCAGGTGCAGCACCTTTCCTCTGCAAAGGTGTAGGACATTACTCATAATCGGATTTCCCAAACCTTATGCTCATGAAATGTTGGCATTGGCACAACATCTAATTATGTGGAGGCACACATATGCTGCCCTTTCTGTGCCTCAACCTCTGTACGAAATTGTTAGCACAGCTATTCTTGATGCCCGCCTATACCAACGCTCGTTCCGAACCAAGTCTGTAAGCAACTTGTGATTCCAATTGTATCTTGTAAAAAAAATGCAGCGGCAGCAAAACCAGAAAAAAATAATAATGATGGAGTGCGATCATTCTGAAAACAACATATTGTATATTATGTAATTATATTTTGCAACTGTTTCCAACATTCTATCAAAAATTGCTTTCTCTATATAGCAATTGTGCATCTGTTCTCCATTTGTTAAAATGGTTTTCCCATAGCTCAAGATGACTATTATGATTTTTTAAAGGAAAAAAAATAGATGTTTTAGGAAATGGTAGCCAGGAAGGTTTAATTCTCCAAGCCAATATAACTCCAAATTACTAGTCCTTATGAAGACAAGCAGAGATATATGGACAGTGTCTCATAAGGTCTGGTAAAATACATAGGAATGGGGGTGGGAAAGAGATTCAGAGCAAAACTTTTAATAGCATTCTTTATTTCCCCTGTAGCTGGAGGGATTTCGGTGAGGAGATGAAGGTGGGTTCATGCCTTTTTTATCTTTAATATTATATATTTCATATTGTTTACAATTATTGGTGTTATTACAGAATTTTTGCTGGAAATGTTGCCATCAAGTTGACTTTGACCCCTGGCCCCATGGGGAATACATTCCTGAACTTTGCTTGGATGCATGAAACTGGATAATAGTGAGCTTTATTTAATTGAAGGACATTCTGTTAAAGGATACTACCAAATCAAACTGGAGGACTTTGAAAATGCCTGGAGATTACCTATTTTGTTGGATATCTGTTCCATGAATTGGGAGTCATATACACAAGCACACCCCCTCCCCTACTCTTTTACATAAAAGCTATTCACTAATACAAGGGACAAGAGAATCATAGAGTCAAAGAGTTGGAAGAGACCTCATGGGCCATCCAGTCCAACCCCCTGCCAAGAAGCAGGAATATTGCATTCAAAGCACCTCTGACACATGGCCATCCAGCCTCTGTTTAAAAGCTTCCAAAGAAGGAGCCTTCACCACACTCTGGGGCAGAGAGTTCCATTGCTGAACAGCTCTCACAGTCAGGAAGTTCTTCCTAATGTTCCTGTAGTTTGAAGCCATTGTTCCATGTCCTAGTGTCCAGAGCAGCAGAAAACAAGCTTGCTCCCTCCTCCCTATGACTTCCCCTCACATATTTATACATGACCATCTCTTCTCAGTCTTCTCTTCTGCAGGCTAAATATGCCCAGCTCTTTCAGCTGCTCCTCATAGGACTTGTTCTCCTGACACTTGATAATTTTAGTCACCCTTCCCTAAACACATTCCATCTTGTCAACATCTCCCTTAAATTGCAGTGCCCCAAACTGGGCAATGGAAAATTTATCCTCCAACTACCATCTCAAACAATAGCTGGCTCAATCTTCAGTAACTGGATCCGACTCAAAGGAAATCCCTTTCATGACTGCCTCTATTTGAATCTTACATTTTTTTAAAACCTACTATCCCCCATCTACCATTTCATCACATTCATTGAATTCTACTGAGCCACCCATTTAAGAAATGGCAACCTACTGAGTTCATCACTTGATGTTAGCTTCAAATGTAGGGCATTTTCAAGTGTTTTAAATGGTTGTCTTTTCAGGCACTTTCTAAGCTTGTTGACAAGTGACTTTTTTTTTTTTGCAAATTATCCATTTAGAAAAGGGTAAAATAGCCAATTCTGTCGTGTGATGATTTCCCCCTGTTCTCAGCTTTAAAATGAAATGATTACGCAATTTGTGGGAGGAGCCAAAATGCCCTTTTGTGAAAAAGCTCTGCTTTGCTTGCCTTTTGCTCAAGGAGAGAGGGGGGGAGGGAATGAGGGGGGGGGGAGGGAGGGAGGAGGATGGCTGGCCTGTAGGCAGAAGGGCCATTGACTTCATCTCCTGGAGAGAGAAATGTTCTCCTCATTTCTTTACCTTCTTTCTCCTTTCTTTTCTTCTCCCTCCTTTCCTCCCTTCTTTTCCCTTTGCTCTGCTGGCAATTCATATGGGTTCTAGTCCTTTCTTACAAATGATTGTCTGACTAACAGACAGGATCATGAGTACAGCCAATTTCTATGGCTTAGGAATAGCTTTTGGCTCTTAATTTAGTTTGGGGAACCAGGGCAAGTAAGCATACGAGTGCATCTACAGTGTCGAATTACAGCAGTTTGATACCACTTCAACTACCATGGAGCTTTGCGATGCACTGATTGGATTTTAAATATTTGCATTAGTACATAACTTTCCATAATAGCAGCTATCTTTTACTGTCAGCAATTTTCTTTGGAGGAGGGACAGTGGATGGGGGACAAATCTCAACTGTGCGATGGCAAATCAATGGAGGACTCCTGAGTGAAACAGATAGATTAAAAAGTGTGCGATGAAGGTAGGAAAATCATCCATTTAATTTCAAAACTGAGTATGCCTAAGCAAAATGGTAAACCTACTCTTCCCCAACACTTGACCTGTTCAGTGGGATGAAGTCTCTAGCATCATCTCAGCCACCAATTGGCTGATGATATTTATTATTCACAGTCCTAAAAGCTGAAGATGGTTGGAAGTTGAACTTTGTTTTGGGAGATTATTTATTTTGGATATCAAATGTTATCCAACTTCCATGATAACCAGATGTTTGCAACCATCCCCAAAGAGATCTCTGTCTCTGCACAGTTTCTCTTCCCACCCCCCTGCCCAATTCTCTCCAGCGTTCCTTCTCAAGGGGAATTTACATAACAACATGGGACACACAAAATGCTCGAAAGCCACCAACCATGACAGTCCAAATTACTATCATTTGTCAACCCTGTACACAAGGTGCTCTACTCCAGGCATATGAGATTGGTTGCATGCTGTGTGGGGTTTGTGTGGCGAGACAAGAGCATCATGCATGGCGCTCGCAAATGCTCAGTTTCTCAAGGGGGAAAGGAGAGGGAAGAGAAGATGGGCAATGCGGGACAGGAGGCCGGAGGAGCCCGCAGCTACTCACCCGCCGTAAGCTGGGATCGGAGGAGGAGGAGCAGCCGCACGAAATGTGTTGTAGACAGTGCGGCCTCTGCCTCGGAGGTGTGCCCCTCTGTATGCAGCGGCAGCAGTCGCGGCGGGATAAGGGAAGCCAGGCACTGAAAATTAACAAAGAAAGACCAATTAGAGATATATATACAGAAAACCATGAATCAGACTAATTTGCTTCTATTTCATAAAATACTGCTTCTCTATTCAGCCCCTAGAAGAAAGAAATGAACTCCATGTTCTCAGCAACACTTCCCCAATTGCAGTCAGCCCTCAACATTCATGGGGTTAAAGGGTGCAGAACACCCACAAATATGCAAAAATGCAAATAAACACCTCTCTAGGCATATCTACATCATGCAACATGGCCCTATCACCAACTTCTGGCAGAACATTAAGCCAGAGGACCTAGAGATCCACAGATCCACTGGTCAAATCTGAGAGTAACTGAATCCACATACGTCAAACCTGCAAATGTAGAGAGTCGACCGTATTTTCAGCTCTGATGCCATAGAATAGATACAGGGAGTGGGAGGCAAAGTGTTGAACTTCCTGACCAAGAATTCTTATCCTTCCTTATATGCTTAAATATCCTAAAGCAAAGTTTCTCAAAGATATTTTGAACTTCAGCTCCCACAATACCTAAGAGCTGGTAAGTTGGCTGGGATTTCTGGGAGTTGAAGTCCAATACACATAGAGGAGCACAGTTTGAGAAACACTTTCCTAAAGGCATAAAAGTCTATTTTATCTTGGAAACTAACTAAGGTTGGCCCTACTAGTACTTGGATGGGAGTTGGTTCATGAATATCAGGCACTGTTAGCTCTATTTTAAAGGAATGCACTGGAAAAGCCAGTATTCCTGCAAGGGAGGTGGTTTGACTATTTATTATTATTATTATTTATTTAGCAATTTTGTATACCGGTCTTCTCTCCTCTGTCGAGGGACTTGGGCCGGTTTCCAACAATAATATCACAAACAGTAATTAAAAACATCATATTACATATTACACTAAAACGTTAAAATAGCAAAATGCAAGCACATAATTACAATGGTCAGTCGTCACAGTAAATTTGTTGTTCGTTGACTAGATAACTCCTATGGTCCCTTCTGACTTTAAAAGAGGCTATGGCTTACTGGTGGAGTTATGTCCTGCATACTGGACACCAACATAGTGCAATATAAGTGGATCAGTGTGCATGGCTGACAGCTCAGTGTGAAATTGCAATACACATGTTCATGCTATTCAATGACCATTCACATGGCTGAATTATAGCAGTTTGGACATAACTTTATCTGTCATGGTTGCATCCTATGTCATTTTTGTGGCACCTGAATGCACTGATATTTCATAGAATTTCACATTCCAGAATTCCATTGCATGGAGACATGGCAATTCAGGTGGTCTCAAGCTGCATCAATTATACAGTGTATATGTATAAGTTGATGTATGGTCAGAATGCCATTGTTAAACCGAAAGAATGTAGACTTACTAAATGTAAACCTAGACTCTAAAAGAGGCTATGGCTTACTGGTGGAGTTATGTCCTGCATACTGGACACCAACATAGTGCAATATAAGCGGATCAGTGTGCAACTGTTGAATGGATGCCAGAGAATATATTATTTACTGGAGATATAGAAACTATTTGAATGAGCATCTCTGAGAGCAAGAGAAGAAAAGGAGCCCATGCACACGTTGTCCAAATGAATGACATGATCCTTACGGGAGGGGAGACTTTCAAGCCAGTATTTTAATCAAGCAAGCAAGGAAAACAAATATCACTGAATCAACCTCAATGAAAGCAAGTGAACAGAGGTAATGATACATAGAAAGCTTAATTTAAAGCTTGCGCATGGACCCATTGCCAAGCCAGCTCTGGCTGCTCATTGGCTTCCGCATCACATTTTCAAAACACCATTAAGATGAAAAATAAAGACACACGTCCCCAATGTGCGGATGCAGCAGCCTGCATCTGCAAGTGTTTTGTTCTCCCATCCTCCTTCTCCCTCTCTCTGTTTCTCTCCGCAATAATACACACAGATATATATATATATATATACATATATCTCAGCACACACAAATAACATAAAAGTTACACATCTAAGTCTCCCATGGGCTGTATCTACACTGTAGAATGAATGCATTTTGACACCCCTCGAATTGCCTTGGTTCAAAGGTATGGAATTCTGGGATTTGTAGTCTGATGTGCTCTTTAGGCTTCTCTGCTCAACAAAGCTGGTTCCTCACCAAACTTTAGCTCCCAAGATAGCATAGCATTCTGTCATTGCAGTTAAAGTAGTGTCAAAGTAATGTGGATGGATCCTAAGTGAGGGCTTGGATGGAGTCCATCTATGTTTTTTTGAGTTCTGCTATGGGAAAGAGATAAGCTATGAATCATTGCTATCATAAAAACATAAGAGTTTTGTGGTCTCCAAAGAGGCCAGTGAAACTATCAGTGAACAATTCCAGATAATGAAAAGAATTGGGAGCTCTTGCAACAGAAAACCACATTTATCCAATGGGAGAACTAACTTTGGTATCCTTATAGTAGCTAAAGTGGATGAAGGTAGCTGGGTTAGCCAATATCCAGTTGTCTTGTTCATTTGTATAGAATCACTATCTGTTTCTGTTTGTTTCATTTGTAAATCCCCCCTTTTTGTTTTCAAATACCTCCCAAAAATAGGTGCCTTTCTGAATGGGTGTTTTCATTCTGCATCTGAAAAAAATGAAAATTTTCCACCCAATGGCCACTATGGCTGGGTTTCCCCAGACTCCCGTTCCCCTTACTTGTAAGGCTAGAGTGCTGAAAATCACCATACATGGAAGACACATCTACCACTTTTATCCCACCAAGTTTTATAACGTTTGGGTCATCCCCTGATTTTTAGGCATTTTTTTCTTGCTATAAATAAAATCTTTCTAAAAACATTCCCTCTTTCTCCCGCTGGCCCTGCCCTCTAATTTCTCCAGGAGCAGCAGCAGGAGTGGGGCCAGGCTGGGCACCATTCTTTCCTGCCAAATGTCAAAGAAGCTCAATACACCACACAAACAGCCGAGTATCCAGCCACACTATTTCACTTCTTTAACTGGCGGAAATGGGGGGAATTCCCCTCCCCTTCCTATCATTTTTGGCAATCGCATGGTTTGCCCTTATATTCTTCATTTTGACCTGATTAAAAGTATCAGAGTTACTTAAGATACCATTCTCCCTGTGATGTTTTTCCCTCGATCTGCAGAAAAGAAGTGGGTTTAAAGACAGGGCTTAAGATACCACTCCTCCTGTGATGCTTTCTCCTTGGTCTGCAGAGGAGACGAGCGGTGGTGGGCGAGGTGAGGCAGGCAGTAGGCAAGTGGAGGGCTAAGAGGGAAGTAGCTCTCTGTGGGCCATGTAAGGAGTGCCATATGGCCCGAAAGGCAGGCAAGAAAATAGTACCCACATCCACTTGCTTTTGTTTCAACCTTGTTTTCATTCCAGGGGAGGGGTTCCCGTTTTGTGCTCCCATCCGAAATGAATTGAACAAAAGAATGGATGAAACAGGAGAAGTGTGTACTGTGCACACCTCTAATATCCAGCTTTCTTGGCAGTGTAGGCAAATTAGCCAAACTGCATTCAGATCTCTTCAATGCTATTGCTTCCTATTGACTTGGGAAGATTATGAGACCCATACAGTCATTCTTTATTATTATTTTTAAGAAGAGTATTGTAAGACTCTTGATGTATTCTAATGGACTATCTTCACATCTAGCTCCCAAAAGAAGAGGAATGTCTAGAGAGTGCAATATGAATTGCAGTCACTGAAACATGCAAGACTTTTGGAACTTTTTTATTGTAATATATTCTATCTCATTTTTAAAGGAAATGCCTAGTGTTGCTGCTGGTAATGAAAACTGCTGCTGAATGATCTCAAAGAACAGAAATCTATGTATTTCTACTAAGTTTAAATGATTACAACAGAAACAAATACAGCAGCCTCAAAATACTGTCACGATATATACTGGTATAACTTGATTTTGTATATTCAGATTGAGAATTCCTCCTCATCCCTGGATTATTTTTTAATTGGAGGTCCAGATAACCTATATGAGACCTTCGGTGCACAACCCATATCTTCTTCCACTAACCTCCAGACCCTTCAAATTTAATGTGGCAGATTAAAAAAAATTGAGTGATATAATTGCAAAGAAAATTGAATTTAGTCCTTAATCCATAATGATTTATACCACATCCCTGGAAATGACTGTAGTATAATCAACCTTAAAATTAATTCCATCTATGCATCTGGGTGATGAACCATTGAAGAAAGGATGGGGGAAATTGAGCTTTTATGCACAGAACATTGAAATCAGCATTTTAGAGAAGCAGAATGATTTAACCAGGTTTATTTTCATATCCATATAGGAGCAAAGAAGGAAAGATGAGGAGAGTGAGTTTTGCAGCCAAGTACAAAGCAGGCAGGCTCACACCTGAACTGCAATCAAATGCTATTTTATCCCAATTGATATCATCATCATCATCATCATCATAATCATCATCATCATCATCACAATAGTCTTTGGTCAAGAAAGTAGATCATTTCTTTGTTAACTATACTTAAGTATGTGGCCTTGGTATCCTACTTGGAGAAGGGTAGGATATTAAACAAATAAAAATATAGGCAAAATAGCACATTTATATCCAATATCCCTTCCTAATATAGGCCCCATCTACACTGCCATATAATCCAGTTTCTGATCCCAGATTATCTGCCAGATGCTGTATTAAATGGACGTGTAAATCCATAGTTATGTTTGAGTCCACAATGCTCTCTGGGTGTAGGTGAACGACAACTCCAAAACTCAAGGTCAATGCTCATGAAACCCTTCTAATGTTTTCTGTTGCTCATGGAAATCCTGTGTGCCAAGTTTGGTTCAATTCCATTGTTGGTGGAGTTCAGAATGCTCTGATTGTAGGTGAACTATAAATCCCAGTAACTACAACTCTCAAATGTCAAGGTCTACCTTCCCCGAACTCCATCTGTGTTAATATTTGGGAATATGGAGTATTCATGCCAAGTTTGGTCTAGATCCTTCATCGTTTGAATCCACAGAGCTCTTGATTGTAGGTTAACT